GGAGAATCGACGTCACATATTGACAAACTACTAGGGATTTATGTAACTGTAATTACTATATATTCTTTGTGTTTGGAGGATCGACGTCACATATTCACAAACTACTAGGGGTTTATGTAACTGTAATTACTATATATTCTTTGTATTTGGGGAATCGACGTCACATATTCACAAACTACTAGAGGTTTATGTAACTGTTATTTCTATATATTGTTTGTATTTGGAGAATCGACGTCACATGTTGACAAACTACTAGGGGTTTATGTAACTGTAATTACTATATATTCTTTGTATTTGGGGAATCGACGTCAAATATTCACAAACTACTAGGGGTTTATGTAACTGTACTATATATATTGTTTGTATTTGGAGAATCGACGTCACATATTGACAAACTACTAGGGGTTTATGTAACTGTAATTACTATATATTGTTTGTATTTGGAGAATCGACGTCACATATTCACAAACTACTAGGGGTTTATGTAACTGTAATTACTATACATGTTTATTGTTTGTATTTGGGGAATCGACGTCACATATTCACAAACTACTAGGGGTTTATGTAACTGTAGGTACTATATATTGTTTGTATTTGGGGAATCGACGTCACATATTCACAAACTACTAGGGGTTTATGTAACTGTAATTACTATATATTGTTTGTATTTGGAGAATCGACGTCACATATTCACAAACTACTAGGGGTTTATGTAACTGTAATTACTTTATATTGTTTGTATTTGGAGAATCGACGTCACATATTCACAAACTACTAGGGGTTTATGTAACTGTAATTACTTTATATTGTTTGTATTTGGAGAATCGACGTCACATATTGACAAACTACTAGGGGTTTATGTAACTCTAATTACTATATATTGTTTGTATTTGGAGAATCGACGTCACATAAACCGTAATGATACGAGGTGTTGACGAAAAGGTGAGCGTATCCTGCCACATCGGTGCCATCCATCAGAAACACATGCAAACGCCAATCAACCGTTTACATGAAAAAAGACAAGGGAAATTGCACGTACAACTTCGCTGTTGTAAGGGGCGGTGGGGTAGCCTAGTGGTTGAAGTGTTCGCTCGTCACGCCGAAGACCCGGGTTCGATTCCCCACACGGGTACAATGTGTGAAGCCTATTCTGGTGTAGCCCGATATTGTTGGAATATTGCTAACAGTGGCTTAAAACCAAACTCTCTCACCTTGTGATGTAAATAGAGAAAAATGCATTGCATACGATAACAAGGCGAAAGAAATACCAGGGGGTAAGGCATTAATCTATAGTTTTCTCTCGTCACTATATGTCTGCAATACTGCCGATGTGACGATAAATCTAAACTCACTATGATAGATAGAATCATGACATTTTGTGTTACATCTTTGCAGTAAGCTTTGTAAGGGAATGTATTATACACTAAACGCCAAAAGAAACGTTACCCTCCTTCCTTAATGACAGACTGACTGACTGAGTTTAGTTTTACGCCGCTTTTAGCAATATTCCAGCAACATCACGGCGGGGGACACCAGAAATGGGCTTCACGCATTGTGCCCATGTGGGGATTCGAACCCGGGTCTTCGGCGTGATGAGCCAACGCTTTAACCATTAGGCTACCCCACCGCCCCTCCTTAATGACAGAGGTACCTATCTTCAGCTGATGTGATGCGTGGACGTCCACTTCTTGGTCTGTCTGCGGTGACCCCAGTCTGTCTATAGCGCTGAATAAATCTTATAACCGTGATACGGTGGCATCCGAGGGCCGCTGGCGACAGCATTGTACGTCGACCCCATCTGCACCATCCCAATGGCGCTTTCTCTCCGTACAGATGTTAATAGTGGCAAATTTCTCGTACCTGTGTATCATATCATATGTTCCTAGTCTCTCTGTATACTGCCCTATAGAACCATTCTATACGTGAAATGGATGCAAATGCTGCTTGAATATTGCTGCGTTTTCCGATTGATATTGCTATGTATTAGTAAACAGAAAATGGAAAAATGTTACTTTGCAAGCAAAAATGTTAACAAACATAATTTTACATGTCCCTAAACATTTTTTTCGCAACATCAATGACATGTTTTACTTGTTTTCACTAAAATAAATCAGCAGAAAAATGTTTTAAAAGACTGAACTCAAAGGAATGATTATTTTACAATTATAAACACTCTACAACAGTTGTTTCTTATTTTGGTAGTTGAAAAATGGTGACTTTAAATGGTTTATCTTTGTCCCAAAGCAGAATTTTATTTCAACCTTCCTTTGGGGGCGGTGGGGTAGCCTAGTGGTTGAAGTGTTCGCTCGTCACGCCGAAGACCCGGGTTCGATTCCCCACACGGGTACAATGTGTGAAGCCTATTCTGGTGTAGCCCGATATTGTTGGAATATTGCTAACAGTGGCTTAAAACCAAACTCTCTCACCTTGTGATGTAAATGAGAAAAATGCATTGCATACGATAACAAGGCGAAAGAAATACCAGGGGTAAGGCATTAATCTATAGTTTTCTCTCGTCACTATATGTCTGCAATACTGCCGATGTGACGATAAATCTAAACTCACTATGATAGATAGAATCATGACATTTTGTGTTACATCTTTGCAGTAAGCTTTGTAAGGGAATGTATTATACACTAAACGCCAAAAGAAACGTTACCCTCCTTCCTTAATGACAGACTGACTGACTGAGTTTAGTTTTACGCCGCTTTTAGCAATATTCCAGCAACATCACGGCGGGGGACACCAGAAATGGGCTTCACGCATTGTGCCCATGTGGGGATTCGAACCCGGGTCTTCGGCGTGATGAGCCAACGCTTTAACCATTAGGCTACCCCACCGCCCCTCCTTAATGACAGAGGTACCTATCTTCAGCTGATGTGATGCGTGGACGTCCACTTCTTGGTCTGTCTGCGGTGACCCCAGTCTGTCTATAGCGCTGAATAAATCTTATAACCGTGATACGGTGGCATCCGAGGCCGCTGGCGACAGCATTGTACGTCGACCCCATCTGCACCATCCCAATGGCGCTTTCTCTCCGTACAGATGTTAATAGTGGCAAATTTCTCGTACCTGTGTATCATATCATATGTTCTAGTCTCTCTGTATACCCTATAGAACCATTCTATACGTGAAATGGATGCAAATACTGCTTGAATATTGCTGCGTTTTCCGATTGATATTGCTATGTGTAAACAGAAAATGGAAAAATGTTACTTTGCAAGCAAAAATGTTAACAAACATAATTTTACATGTCCCTAAACATTTTTTCGCAACATCAATGACATGTTTTACTTGTTTTCACTAAAATAAATCAGCAGAAAAATGTTTTAAAAGACTGAACTCAAAGGAATGATTATTTTACAATTATAAACACTCTACAACAGTTGTTTCTTATTTTGGTAGTTGAAGAATGGTGACTTTAAATGGTTTATCTTTGTCCCAAAGCAGAATTTTATTTCAACCTTCCTTTGGACATTTAAATCACTGTTATTGGTTTATTTCGGCATGGACGAAAATAGGACAATTTAACTCTTCTGAAAATGATGCATTTCACCTAAATATGAATGCATTTGAGAATTTCTTTTCGTGATTTGCATAAAGCTGTGTTGTTAAGCTTTCTTGTAAACTAATACCTTCTAAAATATCTTTGATAGTTTTTAAGTAATTCATGAGGGTAGGAGGGTATCGTTTCTTTTGGCGTTTCTTGTATATACTATTGTGCTGGAACCATATTGCTCTTACAATAAGGGGCGGTGGGGTAGCCTAGTGGGTAAAGCGTTCGCTTGTCACGCCGAAGGCCCGGGTTCGATTCCCCACATGGGTAAAATGTTTGAAGCCCATTTCTGGTGTCCCCCGCCGTGATATTGCTGGAATATTGCTAAAAGCGGCGTAAAATCAAACTAACTCACTCACTCACTCACTCACTTCTTACAATAAATATAAAATCCTGACATGCTTCATCTCGTCTTGTCTAGATGTATTTGGGTGAGCGTGCTAGTTCACGTTGTTGCCTCAGTTCCTTGACAAAATCAATCAATATTTTCTGCATCATTTAACTACACGTATATGTTTTGGTGTATGATTGACCGTGAAATTTAGCCCAAGCATAAACCAGTTCAGTTCACTGATCATGTGGGCTTCACTTAGTTACAACATCGGTCCGGTCCCAAGTATCACTGCATTTCCTGGGAATTGTACACACTGCCGTACATTGTAATGTTTTACATGACTCTTGGAGTAGGTGCCTTCCTTGTAGAAAACAAGTCTATTGGCGCCTTAGGTCACTGTCTCCT